CGTGCCACAAACTTTCACACTCGTGAGAAAAGTTGAACTTTCCCCACTTGTTGCACAATATACTATTTCCATTTTTAATCAATTAAATCATCAACTATTCCCCTAATTTGTGGATGCCAACCTAATTGAAAAACTAGAGGACAATTCCGAATTTTTTTTTATCGACTTTAAATACCCTGTAAGTGTAAGAGCATATTATCATAACATTTGTTCATGGCACTACATTTGTAACAAAAATTATAAAAATGAAGAAAAATGTCTCTACAACTGATAACCCAGCGGATTTGTCCAGCTCTACTGTCTTCGTTGTATATGGACTTCTTGTGGTTACTTTCGCTGTTGATCCGGCTCGAAGGACCACTCTTTATGTTCGATATGTTCAATTGAACGAAGTATGATTGAATGTATATGAATGATTAGATGACTTTCTTTCTTAATTGATTTATCTATTTTTTTTATATCCTTGGAAACCATATTACAAAATATTGTCAAGCAGTAACATTTGATCATATATACAATGCGTTAACAATGTCCATTCCGAAAAAACATAACTTTGTCTCTAACAAAAATATCGTTGCCACAAATCTCATTTTAAAGGTTAATCATAACAGAAAAAAAGAATAAATAGTTATTTTGGTATCTAGAGCGCGAAATGCTACTTTGGTGATCGAGATCTGATTTTTTTAACGAGGCGTAGCCGAGTTAAAAAAATAGTCGAGATGACCAAAGTATTTCGCGCTCGAGTTGCAAACAACATTTTTTCTACAAACGTCAAAAAATATAGTTCTAAATTAAAAATATGCTTAGCTTGATATGAAAAATAGTGTTGAACTGGCTTGAAAAGCCTCCACCTATCCTCCCTAGGTACGCACGATGTTCCACGAACATATTAGGAATTTCCTTTCGATGCGCTTCAAGAGATAAAACAAAGTTATGGTTGAACATTCATAAATGAATGATTCCGTGGATGTTTGCTCCATTGAGGACCATTAAGTTGGAATAAAAATATCTCATATATTTTACTTAACAATGCGCGCGCACTGTTTTACTTCGCGCATTGTTATGTGCAAGGTATCATGGTAACGTAGGAAACTGAAAAAAAGTGTCACTTCGCAATTTGTTGTCAATGCGCGAACCTTGTCATTTTTTGACGTTTATAGAAAAATAATATTTTTTTTAGCTTTAGAGCATGATCATTTCACGACTCTTCTGATGCATTCTTGATGAAAATAATAAAATAGAGCAGTCTATACTACACTTTGGGTTTGAGATATCCCAAAACGTTGTAATTGTCAAGTTAGCTGATGTTAGAGTACAATTTTGACGTTAGTTTATGAGTTTGTACTTTGGACTTGTGTTTTGTGTTGTAACGTTATTCGTTCATAACAGTTATTGCTTACTCAATGACACACATAATGAACATGTATGTCTATTGCAACGACATTTTTGTTTGACATAAAGTTATGCTTTTCGGAATGGGTATTGTTCAACATTTATAATAATAATAATAATAATTGTTTTTATTGATAAGCATATCGGTACAGCAAAATAAGTTTTCGGTACAAAGAAGAACACCAACTTATCAAAAGGCAGGATTCAATTTCAGTCCATGTTCAAGACACAGACTGAACTTGCTCTCCCATCCAACCACCCACAATAGATATAAATATATACTACGTCTAACATTTTCACCATCACATTATAGTATATATAGCCCATGGAAACGTGTATATAGAGTGGGTAAAAATTTCAAACAGAAAAGGTTTCAAATCAATGTAATTTCACCACGTAAAATATCATTTTTTAAATTTTTTCTGAATGACCCCAGCGAAAAGTTCGTATAACGAATAGGTAACCTGTTATACAGCCAAGGTACAAAATAAGAAAAAGATCCTCTAAATTGAGAAGTTTTATATTTTGGTGTGGAGAGCTGATTTTTAAATCGGAGGTTGAGGTTGTGTATGTCCGTCCTGAAAATAATTTTTCTATAAAGATAACTTGGTTTCTTTTCTTTGATGATTCTGTGGAACAAGAGCAGAGTGAAGAATCCGTCGCGACTCCATATTAAGCCAACCTAGATCTTTTACCCAGCGAGCACAAACATCCCTGGGATGTTTTGGGATGTTTTGAAATGTTGGCATGAGGATGTTATTTTGTGACGTAATATGCACTGACCAAGAGGTCTTTGAAGGATATTGAAAGTATTGTTTTTGTTCTTTTGTGCCCTTTCTTTGTTTGCCCCACCACAACGTCTCATGCTTACGTCACAATACGATGAATTCTGATTTGTTTTCGATTTTGTTCTTCTTGTTCGCAATTGGCATTCGCGTTTGCAGCGTGTCACGCTTACATCACGCTGCTAACGAACAGAAAGGAATTTGGTGAAGTTTTTATTGTGTTAGAAGACTCATTTAGTTTGTAATAATGACCATCAGATGCGAGATGTGTTGTTCGGTGCCTCAGTGTAGGTAATCAATATAAATAAAAGTACGAATTTATCAATACACAGCTTCTCCGCAGTTGCAAAATTATGCATTGTGGAGAACATTTCAAAAATTGGGAAACCTATTTCCAATTATATATCTGTGTGTAGTAAGCACTATACTCAGAAACCGATTAAGAAGGTAATTTCATATCAAGAAAATATTTTTATGTTCAATCTATTTTTAATGCATTTTTTCATTCAAGGGAAATGGAATCCTAATGCAAAAGTTCATTTTGACAAAAGGCTTCAGAAAAGTACCTCGAAAATGGGTTTTTTACAGCGATTTAATGTGCGCAAGACGCGTTGAAAATGTTTTGTTGTGTCCATGAAAAGGCTTTAAAAAGAACTAGGGAGAAGGTAGTTTTGTGACATATCAAGGACATCTCGATAATTGCCCCCTGCGGCGGACATTGGCTGTTCTATAATAGTTCTATTCATGTGTGAACAGAACATCGCAGTGGAGGTTCAATGTCTCGAAATCTCGTACTTTTAACATCTCTGAGATGTTTTTGTGCTCGCTGGGTATCTTCTAGTTCCAGTTATCAGTCTAATGCATGAATTCTGAAGTTTTTGCAATCTACTTTTGTCGGTTTGGAGGAGATTGGGACCATATATACTACATCAGCAAAGTTGGCATGTGACAACACCAAAGATTTACATAGTAGTATTTTGGTATTTTTGTTCAAGACTGTCCTGTTTGAATTTATCATTTTTAGGCTGCTATATCCACGTTTCAAAATTTGAGATACATGTTTTGTGAATCTCAGGGCGATACTGATCTACCGAATAGCATCACTAATGACTTCACAGGGTTAACACTCCGGCAATATTTCGCAGACAATGACATCAGAGAATTCAATTCTCTTGTGTCAGATCGAAAGAGCTTTCATCAGATTCTATGTAAATTTGAGTGTCATCAGCATAACACATGATGGACGAATGTTGAAGACAATCCGGGAATATAATAATTGTTGTTTCAAATGTGATACAATAAACAAATATTATGATAATTTGCTCACATATACAAGTCAGTCATTTAAAATAATAATGATTTGTTAAAAATACGGACATGTCCTCTCGTTTATTTCAATCAGGTTGGGATCCAAAAATTAGGAGAATAAGAAACAGTTGATGATTTCATGGATTAAACATGGAAAAGTACCATTTGAGACCAAAATAGATATTTGTTTTACTAGCCAGAAAAGTAGTAGATTGACTGCCGCGGCTGATAGTTCATAGCCGAGCGTAGCTAGAATGTAATTTTTTATTGAAAACTCCATCATATTGTGTTCACCCAATGTCAGTGTCAATTTTGATTACTAATTCCATCAGGATTTCTTGGAACGTTGCATAGCAACAAACTTTTTCTGTCTAGGCAGTAAAAGTACACCTTTTCTGTTAAGTGTCAGGAAGAAACTATTATCCCTGCCGCTTGGAGAAAATGGATATTTGTTTTACTAGGCAGAGAAGTACAAGATTTAATGCCGCGGCTGGCGTTTCATAGTCTAGGCGTAGCCGAGGCTAGAAAACCAGCCAAGGCGTTACATCTTCTTTTCGGCCATGTGAAACATAATTTTTTCTCCAAATTCTTTTGAGTTTCACGCAAAGTCCAAATAATCCATCATTTTTTGTTCACCCAAATCATTGTCAATTTTGTTTAACAATATGATTCAAATTACTTGGAGCGTTGCATAGGTGACTGATCTCTGTTGCATAGCAACAAACTTTTTCTGCCTAGGAAGTAAAAGTACACCTTTTCTGCCTGTTGAGTGTCATCGAAAAGTCACTTTTAATGTCATTTGGAGAAAAAAGCCATTTGAGTAATCAATCTTCCATAATGATGCTTCTACAGTGGTAGAGGTTTTTAGGTTGGCAACTTGGAGCGAAGTCTTCCGTTTAAAATATAATCATCATTCAGTATATTCTTGGATCAGAGAAGGCGCATTCAAAAAACTCGACGTGTCCTAGCGTTTCTACGTAAACCATACAGGGCGTTAGGTAGAATGTAGATGTATGAGGAATTATAAATCACTATTTCTTAGTTCAAGTTGTAACAATTATTCATTGCCATTGTCAAGAATAAGGAAAACCAGGCAATAACACAGTGTGTTGCTCCTGCGGAATGGGGAAATACAGTCAACATTTCAAAATCTTCTGCGGGTATCTTCTGCAAAAACTGGTTATCGTCGCTGTTTTATTTATATAGATAGTTATAATACATGTTTTTATAATAGTTGTTATTTACGAGCATTTTTGTATTTGCATGCCCATAGGGTATGTTTATGCATATCATTTATCATTCTGTATATGCATGGGTATATGTAAGTAATCTTGCCAAGAAAATCGTTTCCTCAATTCTTGTAACACTGGAATTTTTCAGCGAAAGTTCAACATTCCATCATTTCGATTGACGACTAGGTAGGTGATAATTATCATAGGTATATAGCTACACACAATGATTTGAATTTTCCAATAACTGAGATATGAATTATGTACCACCTATAAATGTGTACTGAAACAATAAAATATCTACATCATATCCTATGTTGTGAGGTATATAATAGTTTTTAGTGCCGTCAGTGATTTTCTGGTTAAAGTATAAAGGTTCAAATAAAAGTCCCAGAATTTACCACACAGGTATGCTAGTCAATTTCACTCAGATGTATTCGAATATAAAATTGTCTCCGAACTGTCAGTGAATCAATTATTTTACTGCTTATAAAGAAAAGCAGTAAAGTGGCCTTATTACTGCCTATTTAGAATACACCCAGTATATATTGGTATTGGTTTCAATGAAACCTCAGGGTTCCTCGTTCACATCATACTCCAATTCCGTCAGGATTATCAGGATTCTGAGAGGATCTCTATTAGTGTTAATTGTTCCACACTTGGTAAGTGCCAGGATTTTCAATATTTTGTGTTGTAGGGTAACCTATCAAAATCCTGAAATTCCTTGAGGGGCTGCTGTGAACGAGAAACCCTTGAGGAAGCAGAAGATGGGGCATAATATACATAGATCTGATATCTAATCTGATTTTGGTCTCTTATACCTTATACCAATACCATATTATACTGAGTTTTCCCGGAATTGAAGAGATGAACAAAATTATGTATTGTTTGAGAGAAAAATGAGAAATCAATTTGCTAGAGATATTTTTTCAATTATTTATTTTGAGATGTTTGCTCTTACAATACTTACAGCAAATTTCAATTAAACCGATCTGAAATATTTGAGGATACTGTGTTTTTGCTATGAAGACATTTTCTAGAGAAAAAGTATTGTATTGCTATCGATACCCATATGTCGTAAGCATTAAAAAATATCCTATTTTTCATTCAATCAGTTTATTATTGAACATCCAGCAAAATTGTAAAGGCCATTGATATGATATTTTCCAAAATATTTTTTTCAGAAGAATTCACTTCGATTTCATTCAATTACACACACTTCATTAAGTGTTTCATTCCAGAAACACCTTGTAAAGGTACTATTTTACAGTTGCAAATGCAACAGTCAATTAGCTCATTAGGATGGCAGTTCAGAACTATAGTGGATTATGAGGAATTTTTGATGACATCAAGATGGCATCATGACGAACTCGGAATTTAATTTCGATTAATAAACTCGAAAATTACGCATGCGTGTTTCTTGTTGTGGGTTCGACTCTCGTACGTGGTTTTTTTATTTTCCATTTTCACTCGAAACTATATAGGATTTCCATCTCCATCAATGTCTTCTTACCGATGAAAAATCACTTCTTGATACATTCTCGATTAACATCATCATCACTCAACTATAGATTCCATGCATTTTTGATCTACATAGTAAATAATTTATTGATAACCGTCGATACTCATATTCATCTCATTAATAATTGTCTACTACTTACTACTAGTAAATATAACAGGATGGCGGAAATATAAAATTAAGAAGACGAAAAAATGTATATCCGGAATCCGGGTATCTTAACCCGATTGTCCTTGCAGAAACAACCTGTCTGTATCTATTGCTTTTATATAGCACGGTAGATTACATCGAAACATATCACGCAGAAAAGTTCTGTCGCAGTATATTGTCAGAACAATTAACTGAAGAGGAACATAATATTTATTTATACACCAAGGTAGCCGAGGGGTATAAGGTCCCATGGTAATATTATTCTTTACTACCAAGGTGTATATTAAATTTTTTCCACCACTAGCTATATGTAGAACCTACCACTATTTAATCCTTTTGAAGGCTTATAGTTATTTATGTATTAAGGGAATTATGAGGGCCTTAATTACCGATGGCAAAGTTTGCGTCCCGAGGGCTTCTGGCCCGAGGGACAGCAATTGCCAGAGGTTATTAAGGCTCTATAATTCCCGTGGTACATAGATAATTTTATTTCTGACCGATTTTCATAACAATATGTCCATATTTAGAACGCAATAAATGTTTAAATTCATAACCTTTCTGGTATATTTGAATTAGGTAGCGTTGATTGTAGCATTGTTGGTTGTTGCTAGGTTGTCGCTATGTTACATGTTTATAAGCAAACTTTCTTTACCAATCAATGTTTTTCCGTTAAAAACGTGTTTATTTTTCACCACAAATCGACGATCTTTTTCTGATATAATGGAAAATTGTACATTTATTATTTGTAATGACGTGAATAAGGAAAATATGTCTTAGTTTTCATTACATATAAACGTTTATAAGCATTTCTTGTATCATTTTCACCTGTAAAAGGTAAGAGGGAGTTTTTGAACCTTAATATCCCAAGGGAGTTATGACCCTCATTATAGATATCGTAACTATGACGATATAAGCTTATAATGTCACTGTCAGAAATAAAAGTGTTTTTTTACTACCAAAGTAGTTTTTGTCATTTTATGAACCACTAGTCAATAAAGTCATAGCCACCTCTGTTATAATTAACCAGAATTCACTGTTCTGATGCGAAATTCACAGGAATATCACTCGAATCTAGTAGGTAGGTATTTATGAATAACGATTGGTCATATGCTGTCATGGTGACTAGATTTCAATTTGAATTGAAAAGAAGTGCTTTCATAGTGACATCATAGGTACACATTTCAGTTTCACAGAACTATAATGATTCAAATGTATTGCTAGTGGTGGTGGTGAAAAACATTGAATATACACCTTGGTAGTAAAGGGGACCCTTATGCCTCTCGGTTGAAGCGTCTGGATAATATGATCTTGGTCCCTGGGTAATAATGATATTATTTACTACCTGCTTGGTGTATAAATAGCTATTTATTTCACAAGGGAAAAAAGTAGTAGATTTTATCTCCAGGTTGTGTTGTAAAACAAAAAACCGTTATATTTTCCCGTGTATAATACACTATTTTTTTCTGTGACAGAAGAAAGGACGAATCAATATTGAGAAGATATTACATTATTTTGAAATATGAAAATTATCGACGTGAAATTTTTAGGTTTTTAACAGTAGGGACACCTGCGTTGTAGGCATCTTTATCATTCTTTTGAAGTAATCAAATATCTGATGTCACTTCTGTCAGTCAAATTCTGTAATTTGATTTAAAAAAATTGCGAATTCAGTGGTTGTTTAGTAATATACGTAACCGCGAAGTCGAATGGAAGATAAAAGGACTTGCAGTTCTTTCTCGGAGACGGTATTATTGACTCATTTTTCGGAACTATAGCACAACAAAAGCCATCAACAGTGTATATACACTGTGTCCATAAAGTCACCCCCCCCTGGTTAACTATTGAACGGATGGGATTTTTTTTTTCAATTTTTTTTTGCTTCAATGGTAGTTTCAGTGCTACATATTGTTCCAAAAAAAAAAAAATATTTATCCTCCAAAATGGCGCCTGGGCGCCATTTTGGAAGATTTTTTTCAATGGAGTGGGGGGTCGAAAGATACTTCGATTGAAAGGTCTTTCGATTCTCTATACAACCTCAGAATCTCAGACGAAAATATTCATCCAAAACAAAATGGCGGATGATAACGTTTGAAATCTCACACCAGAATTCTTTCGACTAGATAGTGCTCGCATGTGATCTTCAAATCTCTATTGGCGTAAAGAAGAGTTCTCTATCTATGAATATATCAATAGGAAGCCATTTTGAAGAGAATAACATGGTAGTCAATTATTACCTCTGCTCGATTGCCTTTCCAAATTCTGCAAAATTTTAGAAATATCTATTCAAAATAAAGAACAATGTTCATTCCACGTGACTACCATGTTATTCTCTTCAAAATGGCTTTCTATTGATATCTTCATAGATAGAGAACTTTTCTATACGCCAATAGAGATTTGAAGATCACATGCGAGCACTTTAATAGCCATCTAGTCGAAAGAATTCTGGTGTGAGATTTCAAACGTTATCATCCGCCATTTTGTTTTGGATGAATATTTTCGTCTGAGATTCTGAGGTTGTATAGAGAATCGAAAGACCTTTCAATCGAGGTATCTTTCGACCCCCCACTCCATTTAAAAAAATCTTCCAAAATGGCGCCCAGGCGCCATTTTGGAGGATACATGTTTTTTTTTTGGAACAATATGTAGCAATGAAACTACCATTGAAGCAGGAAAAAATTGAAAAAAAAAATCCCATCCGTTCTAAAGTTAACCAGGGGGGGGGTGACTTTATGGACACAGTGTATATGTGATATATATCCGAAAAAAAAAACACTCACTTTTTTCCACGGGAAAAAACTAATTTATGAAAAGTGAAATTTTATGACCTGCCAACAGAGATGAAATGCCAAACTTTTTTCCTGTCACAGGAAAATAACTATTTTATATATTTATATCAATATATTTCAATCACTATAGTTCTGTGAAACTAAAATATGGAACTCCTAATGTCAGCACTTCTCTTCAATTTCAATTAAAATCTAGTTGCCATAACCATAACAGCAGATGACAAGTCGTTATTGATAAATACCTACTAGATTCGTGAGCCATTCCTGCGAATCTCGCATACGATCAGTCAATTCGGGTTAATTATATCAGATGTGGCTAGGTCTTTATTGACTAGTGTTTTATAAAATGACGCAAACTACCTTAGTAGTGAAAACACACTTTACGCCTTCAAAAGAAGTAAATATACAGGGTGGCATTGAAATAAGTGCAAATATTTCGAACACTGAGAAAGCTCGACGTGTACTATCGAATGGCACTAAAAAAAAATATTAGGGATCAAAATAAAAGGACCCCGCAAATTTTCAAGGTAATTTGGGTCCCGGTGGATTTTTCTCAATTTTTAGTATGATGTAGTTCATTTGATTCAATTACATATTGGCATTGCGCCAACCCCCAAAAATGAACAGTTTTTTGCTAGGGGGAGTTGAATTCACATTTTGACCGAATTGATTATTAATTTCTGAGAGAATGAACAATATTCTAGAATTTTTTATTTCATCTAATTTCTCCTATGAATATATGCTTTTTGAAAAAAATATAGTGAGGGGGAATTATTACACCAAACTCCCATTTTGAAAAACGAAAAAACAAGAGAATTCGCCTAACCGTCAAAAGTGATAAAAAATGTTCCATTACCCAGAATTATGGAAACCGCCTTTTTGTATTATTGCCCCTCACCGAATGGGAGGCGCCCATGAAAAAAAAGTTCGGTGGATTTCGCTGAATTTTTGAT